AAAGGAATCACGCTATTATGTAACGTGAAATGCATAACAACCTGACAAAGGTCTAATTGAGCTCAGAACTCTGTTCATTCAAACAGATTTGTGGTGTGCAGGCATTACCTTTTCATTCACGCTGTGTAAAGTGACAACCCAAATGAAATAGTGCTCACCCGTCTCTCTCGGCTTCCTTCTTCTCAAGGTCTTGAATGACATCCAGCAGGACCTTGATGGTGTTCTGGCTGGTCTCCAGGACCCCCTCCAGGCTCTGCAGCTGGGTCTGCAGGCTGCGGATATCGTGCAGCGGGCCGTTCGGACCCAGGAGCTTCTCGGCCACTTTAGCCGGGTCCAGTTTACACCTGGCCCCCGACACCAGGCCTCCCAGAATCTCCTGCACTTGTCTCAGTGTTTCGGCCTGGGTGGAGGTCAGGGGCCCCGCTGTGGGTCGGCCCCCAGCAGCAGAACAACCTCTTCCTCCAGAGCAGTTTTGCGGCAGCGCTCTGTTGGGGGTGCCGGGCCTGGCGTTGGGTCCTGAGCAGAGCATTTTGTGCAGCACCCCGAGCTGAGCCTGGGCTGAGCTGAGGCAGCTGGACTTAAAACAGGCCTTGGCAGGAGAAGAAGAGGAGGACGAGGAGGAGCACGGTTTCTCCCCCTTCATCACAGCGACTGGTGGAGTTTGAGCTCTGTGCCTCAGAGAACTGGATCTCCCACAGAGTTTGGGTGTGTCTGAACGTTTCACATCTTCCCTTTTCTCCTTCTCCACTTCTTTGTCCTTCTTCCCCGCCTTGCTGTCTGTCCTGAGCATGGGTGTCCGAGTCGCAGTCGCACACGGTGGATCATTTCCCGTTTTGCGCGGCGTGTAAGGCGGAGGTGGAGGCGGGGGAGGAGGCGGAAGTCGGATGCCCCTCTTGTCCTGAGCCTGAGCGGGGGGAGTGTACGGCGGCGCGGCGCGAAACGTGGAAGAATAAAGAGGAACAGCTTTAGTCGGGGTTGCATTTGGAAGATTGGACGTGTTCACCAGAGGAGGGGATGTGCAGGATCTGAGTTTGGGCACCGGGGAGGAGTAGGGGGTGATTCCTGTGAGGGAGGCGTTTTGCAGAGGGATGTTGCAATGAGACACAGTTTGTATGAGAGTGGCGTACGAAGGCGTAGTTTGGTGAGGTGCATGGGGACTAACTGAATTAGTGGTGGAGTAATATGTGATGGAGGTGCAGGACATGGCAGTTTGAGTTACAAATGTGCATGGGGTTGCATTTGCAGTCGGTGATGCATTGAGTGGTAGCTGATGTGTAGGAGGTGTAGCATTTAATGCATTCTGTGTTGGAGGTCTCATAGTGTCACAGGGGGTTATATTAGGTATTAGAGTGGGGGTAGAACAGGTCAGAGGTGGGGCTATGTTTAAGATAGGGGAGGTGCCGTTTTGGGAGATGCATGATGTTGCATTTGCAGGACCGGTTGATGCATTGTGAAGCTGGTTTGTAACATTTGTGGCCGGAGTTTGAGGTCTAATGGGGTCACAAGGGGTTACAGTTGGAGTAGGGGTGGAACATGTCAGAGGAACTGGTGGTGCTATGGTTGGGATAGGGAAGGTGCAGTTTTGGGTGATGCATGATGGTGCATTTGTAGGAGGTGTAGCGTTCAAAGCATTGTGCAGCTGAGGCGTGACCTTTGTCGCAGGAGTTTGAGGTCTAATGGGGTCACAGGGGGTTATATTAGGGGTTAAAGTTGGGGTAGGGGTAGAGCAGGTTAAGGGAGAAAATGATAATATGTTTGGGATAGGGGAGGTGCAGTCTTGGGTGATGCATGATGTTGCATTTGCAGGACCGGTTGATGCATTGTGAAGCTGGTTTGTAACATTTGTGGGTGGGGTTTGAGGTCTAATGGGGTCACAGGGGTTTATATTAGGGGTTAAAGTTGGGGTAGGGGTGGAACATGTCAGAGGAACTGGTGGGGCTATGTTTGGTATAGGGGAGGTGCAGTTTTGGGTGATGGACAGTGTTGCATTTGTAGGAGCTGTAGCGTTCAAATCATTGTGCAGCTGATGCGTGACCTTTGTAGAAGGAGTTTGAGGTCTAATGGGGTCACAAGGGGTTACAGTTGGAGTAGGGGTGGAACTGGTCAGAGGAACTGGTGGTGCTATGGTTGGGATAGGGGAGGTGCAGTCTTGGGTGATGCATGATGGTGCATTTGTAGGAGGTGTAGCGTTCGAAGCATTGAGCAGCTGACGCGTGACCTTTGTAGAAGGAGTTTGAGGTCTAATGGGGTCCCAAGGGGTTATATTAGGTGTTAAAGTTGGGGTAGGGGTGGAACAGGTTAGGGGAGCTGACAATACTGTGGTTAGGATAGGGGAGGTGCAGTTTTGGGTGATGCATGATGGTGCATTTGTAGGTGGTGTAGCGTTTGAAGCATTGTGCAGCTGATGTGTTACTTTTGTGGCAGGAGTTTGAGGTCTAACGGGGTCCCAAGGGGTTATATTTGGGGTTACAGATCGAGTCGGGGTGGAACAGGTTAAGGGAGAAGGTGATACTATGTTTGGGATAGGGGAGGTGCAGTTTTGGGTGATGCATGATGGTGCATTTGAGGGAGGACTGGAGCAAACAACAGCTACATTTGGAGTCGAAGGTGGTGACACAACCGTATAATAAGGGATCGGGTGTTGGAGGACCGTAGGAGAAGAAGTGGAGCAGGGAATGGAAAGTGCAATTGGTGGAGGTGCAGTTGAGCAAGGGGGTTTGACGCAGTGTTCAGGGGTTTTTACAGGTGACGGGGAGGTACAGTAAGGCACAATAGTTATTTGGGTGGTGGGATGCGGGGATACAGGACTCTCCGATTGATTTTGCATGGAGCTCAGAGAGACTGTCGGAGGTGCGGAAGCACAGGGGCTGCAGGTTTGTGTCTGGATGGTGCAAGGTTCATGATTTGGAAGCGAGTCTGTTTGTATTTGGGTGGTGCATGGCTCAGAATGGGCGGTTCTAATTGTGCATTGTTTCTCAATCACCGGGGGAGTTTTCGTTTGGCTCTCAGTTTGACTTTGCGCGGTGCAGAACTTTGAGTCTTGTGGCGGGGAGGGGCTCTCAGTTTGAACTTGAGTGGTGCAGAGTTTGTTATTTGAAGGGGATTTTCTGGGGCTTTCAGTCTGGGTGGGAGTGGTGCAGTGGTGCACTTCCTTCCCAGGATCGCTTGTTGTCCGGTTAAATCGTTTTCTCCTCCGTATCGCTGCGGGGGTGCTGCTGCCCTGGCGCTTGGATCCGTCTCGACTGGCCACCATGGAGCAGTGAAATGCGTCCACGTTGTGAAGCACTGATGGCGGGCAGCTGTGGCGAGAGTTCTTCACCACGCTAACAGCCGATTTAAAGTCCGTCCTGGAGGGTTTCGACCTCCGTTCCACCGCCGTATAATCCCCAGCAGGACCGTTATGATCCTTGGACGCCGACACGTGGTTGTGGGCGAGATACTCATCCTGCGAATCGTGTTCGTCATCGCCATCCATCCCCCGCGAATCCCCGAGGCTTTGACTACGAGTGTGTGAGGACTTCTTCAAGCATGGGGAGGTCTGGATGGCGATGGCGGTGCTGGTGCTCGCGTTCGTCCTCCGTGTCATCGGTAAAGTCAAGAAGTTGGGCTGCGGTGGAGCCCAGCATCGACGCGTCGGCCCTGGAGTCAACGGATGAGGCGGGGCTCTCGCTAAGAAAGCAGCCACCACCTCTATAGTACTCGCCATATCCCCACGAACAACCCCAACCACGGACGTTTGCTCAGGTAGAGTCCGCGGTCCGTCCCTGTCCATCCACGGTTTTGGCGACCTGTGTTTTCGGAGAGGATGCGGGCTGTCACAATCAGGCCTTGGGTGGCTGTTGTGTTCTCCGGTGCCGCTGTTTCCGCTGCTGCTGCTGCCATCTTCCAGGTCTTTGAAGCGGACCTGGTGCGTTCGGTTTCTGCGGCGCTTGAGGCGGCTCTCGATGTCTGGGGAGTCGCGGTTGAGCAGCACCGAGCGTACGGTCATCGTCCCGGGAAGCTTGTCGGCCAACGTGGTGCTCTTGCCGTTGGTTTGGCCCGTGAGCACGTGGTTGGGCTCTTTGCTCACCATGTCTCTGGTTTCTCTCGCTGCCCCAACATCCACAGTCTGTTTGATGTCGTGAAGGCTTAGATGTGTCAGTGCGGCAACAAGGAAAGCGATCCCCTCTTTACTATATTGTCATCACAACAGTGCACAGTTGATTGACTGAGTTTCATCACAGAGTTGTGTGCAGGTTTTCTCAAATCTGCACACCAAGGACTTCCTCTGCAGCTAAAAGATTGTCCTCCGGAAAGGATTCACAGTTCAAGAATATTTTAAGCACAGTAAGTACAAATTAAGTGTAGATCACCGTGATCATTGCTTACCCCTAGAATTAATCTACCTCGTACAAAAATATATGCAGCATCAGATACTCTTTAGCATGTAAAGAGTGTACGTTCACTCCCATATCTTCTCAAGTTGTCCACTTATTTCTCTTTGAATTTCCAGGGAGACGAACTCTTCAGACCGGTAAATAAGCTGGGAGGAAGGAAATGCAGCCTGTCCATCTTTCTGCGTCACATCAGCTCGTCAACTTGGCAGATACTCAGTCTCCACCTGCTTTGTCCCCTGGGCCCTCGGGTGATTGGATGCCCAAAGTACGGGGCCGGCCTGCAGACTTCCCCATAATGGCCTATCTATTTCAACTTCTTTTTTTGTTCTCCTTTGCTTTGGACTTTATCTCTCGCTCTTCTTTTCTTAGCTCTTCTCTCGATGACTCATCCTCTCATGGTTTGAAACACAGCGTGAGTTCCTGAAGAGAGCAAGAAACAAAAAAGAAAAAGAAAGGAGAGTAAGACACTGTAATTGTTTCCATATTATTGCATTTCCATTCAAACAGATATCGCGCCGGCTCCTGGGGGATAATGGAGATATCAGATATGGCAGCTATTTTAAAAATGCATGAGAGCGAGGTCAACACATGAATGGGAAAAGAAGACATCAATTCAGGAAATGTAATGAAAGGATGTAGGCGGCAGAAGGAAGGAGAGGACAGGAAAAGCACACGAGGTATATCATCAGCGATAGAAGAATATCCACAAAAGATATAAGACAAAAGAGAGATTATAATCAAGGCCTATTCACATTGACTGAAGGTGACACTTGTGTATTTTGTATTCCCTTCATGTAGGCTTACCTTTTTTATATCTAATGTCTGTCTTTTGTATGTATGCAGGGTTACTTGTAAAATCGTGTATCATAATGTAACCTGATTGCTTTCCCTTACTATTGGATTAGCTCATTATCAAATGCAAATAAATAGAAATATCAATAAGATGTTTTTTTTTTACTTAAAGTGGACCTATCATGCTATATTTGAATAATATAGTGTAGGACCATACCTATATAAGGCATATTTATACTTTTTTTTTTCAAAATACCAAACAGATCATGCATTTTAGCCATGCCTCATTTTGCTCAATTTCACATTTTTTAGCTCTGTTTTTGCAAGGGCTGATTCAGTGAGAACAGCACCACCTACAGGCCTGGCATATGTACTACAGCGTCTCCAGCGCTTTAGAACGGCAATGGCCGTGGCTGTCTCCTCCTGATTGGTGGAGTTGGCCCAATAGCCGTAGCGCCACCGTCCTGACGTCAGGACAGTGTTCAAATCTGGATCAGTTTTTATCAGATCCGTTGCAGCCCCTTTTTTAGAGATTTGGGTATGGAGGAAAATAGAGAGGGTTGTGTTTTCTGACACTTGGTGAGTTCCCTGGAACACCGGGGACACATATTCATGTATAAAAGACGTACAAAAGTGCATTTTGCATGATCGGTCCCCTTTAAGTATTAAGCCCTATTCTGCTTTTTGTGGGTTTCCCTTTCCTGTAGTGTGTTCTATGGGTTTGTGTGCATGTAAATGGTCTGCAAAGACTAAAATCTCTCCCACACACTCCTCCCCCTGCCTGAAACGCCTTCTAAGAGCATGTCAATATGTCACAGTAGAGGCATTAAATACTAATATGAACCTGAAAACGAGGAACTTTGGGATTTTAACCTTTGCAGACCGTTTACATGCACACAAACCTACAGTAAATAACACACTACAGGAAAGGGAACAACCAAAAGAGCTCAATCTCATCACCCTCACGTTGTTGTTATATGCTGAAGAAGGTAAGAATGTAAACAACTAATTATACATTAATTGAATATGAGCAGATACCGTATGCTGTTGTTTTTTTAATAAACCTGCCTGCACCATTTTCAATTTGCACCTTTTTTTTGTCTTTTCTAACTTTTCCCCGTGTCATTTTTTATCCAATTGTATTAGAATTCGTGTATCCAGTTACATGTAATCCCCCACCCTGTATGCATGCACGTACTTCAGTGTTATTCATTGTTGTTTCTGCTCTGGGCTCAGTGAGTTATTCCTCCTGTGTGTGTGTTTTACAGATTTCTCTTCCCCTCCATGTTGAACAGCCCTGTTATCAGTCCTTGATGATGTGCCATGGTGACATCCTTTCTGATTCATCTGGTCACTGTGCGACAGCCTGCCTGCCTCGCTGTATTCAGTAGTATGTTCTCGTCAGTCTGATTCTGCGGCCTCTTCGTGACGATCTATGGCCTTGATACGTATATATATATAAATCACTTCCACTTCCTGTCTGTGCCACTGGCAGTCGGCTGCCGTTTGCATTGCACCATCGATGGATCCTTGTGATATCCTGACAGTGACAGGATAATTCAGCGTGCCGTTTCTCTACCTCCTCTTTTAGGGCGGGGGGGGGGGGTTAATTAGTGACTCCTTCACAGATCCCAGGTTATTTAGGGAGAGAGATACCCAAAGGGGCTGCCACTTTTATTTATGTCCACTGTTTTCCTCTGTTTTCTTTCTCGGGCTCTGAAGAGGAGGATCTTTGTCACAACCGCGCCCCCACTGTCAACCCCTTTAAAAAAACATGGTTATTAGGATTAATTATGATTAAAGTCAGAGCCGACAGAGCCTCGAGGGGAAATATCAACCACACACACTCAGAAATATTAATGCATTTACAAACAAACCATGGGATTCCTTGTCATTTTAATTTCTTATCAGTAAGCAAATGGAAGACAGTTCACTTACTGGATATAGGGGCTGACACACAAATGCAAATGTATATTTATAGCGTACTACAATCCGTTCGTATGGAGGCCGACCTGTGCAAACCCGCAACAACGGCCCAAATAACATCAATTAGGAGAAACACGCAGCAGTTTCCAAAACGTTGCAAATACAAAGTCATCTTCACCAACTTGACAACACATGAGCAGCGTTTACTAAAAGCTGCAGAAACCAAACGCTGCAAGAAGTTCAAAACACAACGGAGACCAGGGGACACTAAAAAGTGACGCACACAGCTGGAGACCAGGGGACAATAAAAAGTGACGCACACAGCTGGGAGACCAGGGGACACTAAAAGTGACGCACACAGCTGGGAGACCAGGGGACACTAAAAAGTGACGCACACAGCTGGGAGACCAGGGGACACTAAAAAGTGACGCACACAGCTGGGAGACCAGGGGACACTAAAGAGTGACGCACACAGCTGGGAGACCAGGGGACACTAAAAAGTGACGCACACAGCTGGGAGACCAGGGGACACTAAAGAGTGACGCACACAGCTGGGAGACCAGGGGACACTAAAAAGTGACGCACACAGCTGGGAGACCAGGGGACACTAAAAAGTGACGCACACAGCTGGGAGACCAGGGGACACTAAAGAGTGACGCACACAGCTGGGAGACCAGGGGACACTAAAAAGTGACGCACACAGTTGGAACTGGAGCGCTTGGTGACGTTCAGGATTATAAAGCTGAACAACTGTCTCTGTTGTTGGAAACTTACCTCAAATGTTTGATGGTCTTATTTAAAAAATGTGATCACTTGACTCCTTCTGATGTTACTGCAGATCTGCTGTAAGCTAGCTAGCTAACGTAGCTCATTTCAGATATACTGACAAACACTTACGGAACGTCCACACGGCAGCGGTGCGTTGAAGCTTGCCGGTGGGCGTGTCTGGTGCGCGACCAACAACCGATCACATGAATCTCCCGCCCCGGACACACAAGCACGCGGTTTGATTGGCTAGCGCTTGTACTGGCATATGATTTGATTGGCTAGCGCTTCCGTCGACGCTTGAAAAGTTGAACTTTTCTCAACTTTCGAAGCGAGCAACGGAGGCAAAGCGACGCGAGGGAACCACAATGCAGTTCGGCAAAGCTTGACGTCACCCCGTTCAAAGTGAATGGGAAGCGTCTCCGTTGAAGCACGCGACGGAGCCGTGTGGACGTACCGTTACAGTTATGAGACGACTAACTCTGAACCAGCTGTGTGCGTCACTTTTTAGTGTCCCCTGGTCTCCCAGCTGTGTGCGCCACTTTTTAGTGTCCCCTGGTCTCCCAGCTGTGTGCGTCACTTTTTAGTGTCCCCTGGTCTCCCAGCTGTGTGCGTCACTTTTTCGTGTCCCCTGGTTCAGTTGTGTTTTGAGCTTCTTGCAGCGTTTATTTTATGCAGCGCTTTCAGTAAATGCTGAGAATGCTTCCTGAAGTTGGTGAAGATGTTTCTTAATGTGTTTGGGCAAATTTGTGTTTTTACATTTGCATCGTTTCTGAAACTGCGGCACGTCTCTCCTAATGGAAATGTTTTGAGCTGTTGTAGATGCGTTTGCACCTGTCGGCCTCCGTACTTTTGACCTTGATGATTTCTTTCCTGGATAAAACCATGTTTCCTGTCCTCCTATTTTTTCATTATCCCATTTAACAGCGTCTGCCAGTCTTCCTAGCCATTTCTGGTAAAAAGCACTCTCCTTTAAACATTCACCATGACAGATTTCCTCCACCAGTCTCAGGACCATTAGCCTTACTCATTCTCTGGGTGCCATCCTGATCCTACCCTCTCACTTTCCATCGTTCCTCCATCTGCTCCTTCTCCTTTTTTATACACCACTGTCACTTAGATCTTTCTTCCTCTTCCTCCACCATCACTCGCTCAGCTGCAATCTCCCCCGCTGCCTCTCTTTGTCCCTCCTTTCACAGTTCCTCCATCTCGGCCCGCAAACTACCTTCGGATCAAAATTTACGCTGACAGTTTAATGAATCCGGACCCTCTTAATGCTGCGCGGGCTTCGCTCCTGTGGCTGAGGCTAGCTCTTTCCTACATGTGACATTTTCATGTTGAGCTTTATTGGCAGACAAGAGATAAATCACCCTGCAGGGAGAGGAAGGTGTGCAAAGGCATAATGCCAGCAAGGGTCATAACTCTTTTTCCGTTATTATTTAAGATTTACCACAGACTACTGCTTGCTGCCTGCGTCTGAGACTTACTGTGAATATAGGCTCATATCCTCGTCCCTCTGTGTGTGGTTTTATGGTTATGCATGTGTGTGTGTGTGTGTGCGTGTGCGTGTGGTGATAAAGCTAAGGTCAAGTCTGATCTCACTATGCTGAGCCATGCTGACACTATTGCAGCGTTTCCACTGCTTGCTACGAAACGGCTCTACTCATCTTGACTCACTGATTTTAGGTTTTTCCTTTAGCGACATGTATGAATAGTACTTGTTTACTATTTGAATGCTACATACAGGTGGAAAAAAATATGTGCATGTAAATGGTCTGCAAGGGCTAAGATCCCTGTGTTCCCTCCAGAGAGAGTTTACATACTGATTTACACCTGAACATCAGCAGGAGAGGACTCTTTAAAGTAGAGACACTACATACTGATATACACCTGAACATCAGCAGGAGAGGACTCTTTAAAGTAGAGACAATACATAC